ATATATTCCTGCTATCATAAAGCAAAGCTACATAATAGATAACAAGAAAAAGAAATTGCTTGCAATATTTTCTAACTTATGTTCACAAAACACAGCAAATGTCTCTTGTGCAGATGTATGATTTGAGATGGGAGGACCTTACTTGTCTTTTTTTTTTTTTTTTTTGAGACAGACTCCCATGGTGTCAGCCTAGCTCACAGCAACCTCAAACTCCTGGGCTCAAGCAATCCTTCTGCCTCAGCCTCCTGAGTAGCTGGGACTACAGGCGTGTGCCACCATGCCCGCTAATTTTTTCTATATATTTTTAGTTGTCCAGCTAATTTCTTTCTATTTTTAGTAGAGACAGGGTCTCGCTCTTGCTCAGGCTGGTCTCAAACTCTTGAGCTTGAACAATCCGCCCTCCTCAGCCTCCCAGAGTGCTAGAATTACAGGTGTGAGCGACCACACCTGGCCAGGAGGACCAAACTTGAGACAGAAAAAATTCACTGCACAAAGGTAATGTACTGACAGGGTCAAATCAATTAAAGAAAAAGCTAACACCAACAGCTCAATTTTCTTCTCTATATAAGGTTATGGCATGTATGTGTGGGACACTCAAAGAGCCACAAGGGAAGTAGCATAACATAAAAATTAAAAACACGAACTTTGGAGCCAGACTCCTTGGGTTTAAATATGTTTCACCACCTGCTAGTTGTTGATTGAGTTATTTAATTTCTCTTTCTCTGTTTCCTTACCTGTAAAAATGAGAATAATCACAGCACTTGCATCAGAGAGTTGTTACGAGGATTCAATGACCTATCTCTGTAAAGTAATTAGGGATATATAATAAGCGTCTGCTAAATAAAATGCTACACAAGTTACAGCAGCCATGCAAAGAGCTAAAAGCAGTAAAACTCTTCGCAACAGCGGCAAAAGTTTAAAATGGGCTGGTGGGGACACACCAAAAATAAAATGACACATCACTGAACTGGGTATGAGATTTCAAGTGTTGTCAAACATTAAATTAAATATAGACACAAAAGTGCTGGACTCTAAACATACTTGACCTTTCTAGGATTGGCACTAAAATATACCTAAATGTGCTTTCATATTCCCATCTAGTAACTGAGCATTCCAGACCAAGTCTGGCCTCCATCTCTCTCTGTCCCTGAATTGTCATTTCAAAACTAAAGGACCCAGGATACATGTTTGCTCTCTAAGGCCCAACTCTGATAGTCCCAGGGAGGTGGCAGTCTGATTCTTAAGAAAAATGTGAAATAAAAAGAGGAAAGTAGATATATTTGTAGAATTTTAAGCAAAAAGTTGCTGGGTAGTACGGAAGGCAAACCCCCCTCCTTTCCTCTCACTGTAGGGCAAAAATAAAAAAGAGAAAATAAAGCATGAGACTTTGCCTCACAATTCCATTTGTACAAAGGGGCAGGGACAGGACTAGCACCCCGGACTCAACCAGTGCCCACATTCAAGGCCCACACGGGGAGGTGCAGCACAACACGCACTCCGCAAGGGACTCATTTGTGCAATGCCATTGGACGCAGGGCTGCACCAGACACAAAAGGCCACGAACTGTGTGATTGCATTTAAATGAAATGTCCAGAATAGACAAATCCATAGAGTCAGAAAGTAGATGAGTGGTTTCCAGGAGTTGGGGTAGGAGAAATGGGGAGTGACTGGTAATGGTTTCCCTTTGGCGTGGTGCAAATGTTTTGGAATCGATGGTGATGGTTATACAACTTTGTAAACATGCTAGCCATGGAACTGTACAGCATAAAAGGGTGGTTGGTAAATTATATCTTAGCAATTGGGGAGAGGGTTAGGTCTACATTTACAACAGAGGATTCTATTATTATGTAGTAGTCTACTTCTCTTATCAGTAATGGAGGGAAATGAGGAGATTAAGGTAATTATGTCAACAGTTCTTGATAACAAGAAGGCTAGAATTAGATTTCAAATTGCCTATACAAGGTGGCCAAAAACTCTGAAACTCAGAGGTCAGGGATTAAAGGCCCTGTTCTCTACGAGCGCAAAGGGAAATTATGCACGTAGAAAATAAGGATAACAGCAGGAAGGGGGTACGCGATAAGGCACTGCTGCCACCCACTGAGCTCGGGCCAAGCCTTCAGCTGTCTGTATGCGCTGGCATGCTGTAAGGCGACCAGGAGCCAGGCGCACCTGAGCTTCACCCACGGATTTCCCAAGGGGGGGTGAGTCATAAGAAAAGCTAGGAAGCCAGATGAGCTTTTTAAAACTTCATTTCTGCACCTTGCAGTCTCCAGGCCCAATGCTGACACAACATCTCCACTCCCTATGATGGCCCTCTCCCTGTGGTCCAAAGAGGGGATACAGCACAACCAAAAGCTGAAAGGTGAGAACGGAGGGAAATAAATTTCTGACAATAGTTTGGAAAGATCACCAATTCTTTGCATAGGTCACAGCAACCAGAGTGACCTTAACATGTAAATCGTATCATGTCATCCCCTATTTAAAACCCATCCGAGGCAATCAGGAAAAATGCAAACTCCCTACAACCATGTGGAATGAAACACACATTTCGGTCACCAGTCACAGGCCTGCCTACTGGCACGATGGCCTCTGGCACCTCCCCCACCACGCCTCCCTCTTGGAACTCAGCTGTCTGCGGCCTTAGGGCCTGGCACACTCTACTCCCTCCGCCTGGCTCTGCGCTTGGCTAGCCCCTTCTCATTCCTCAGGTCTTAACTCAAATGGTACTTCAAATAAAGAGCTAGAGAGGGTCCTTCCTGTTATTGTCTGCCACAGCAGTTTATTTTCTTTAGAGGGCTTACTGCACTCTGTCACTGTTTTACCTATTTCTTGCCTGTTCACCCTGGTAGACTGCTCGTTCAAAGAGGATAGAGACCATGCCTACCTGTATCTAAAGTGCTACCACATTTGCCTGACACATGGCTGGCATTTGATTTTTGCTAAATAGATGAATTTGTGTTTTTTAAAATAACTCTGGCTGGAGAGCATAGGGAGAATTACAAGAGGCATGGGGAATAATTAAAGTGAAGGCAGTTTCTATGGTTTGAATGTTGGTGCCCCCCCAGCATCTGTCTGTTGGAACCCAACACCCAATGTAATAGTACTAAAAGGGAGGGCCTGATTAAGACATGAGGGCTGCCCTCGTGAATGGGATCAGAGCCCTTATTAAAGAGGTTTGAGGGAGCCTGTTGGCCCCTTCCACCGTGTGAGGATGCAGTAAGAATGTGCCATCTTTGAAGCAGGGAGCAAGGCCTCAACCTGACACCAAATCTGCTGGCGCCTTGATCTTGGACTTCCCAGCCTCCAGAACCGTGAGCAATAACTTTCTCTCCTTTACAAGTTACCCAGTCTAAAGTATTTTGTTACAGCAGCCCAAATGGACTAAGATAGTGATCACAGATCACACTTTAAGCAACACAGATTTGGGTGTACTAAAGACCACCATTTTCCCAGACCTTCCTTCTTTCTTTTGGATAATTATACAATCACATTGGTTCATCAATGAACAGACTTGATCAGACCAGTGTAACATTGCCTGAATATTTACTAACTGGGGGTCTGTATGCTTCATACTTACACAGGCCCATTTTTCCTTGAATCTCCTCCACAAGGCAGAGCCCTGGGCAGGCCTCTGGACTATTCTCAGGGTCAGGGGCCATTTCTCCCTCCCTCTCTCCCCATCATCAAGTGCAAAAAACACTTGTTACTGCTGCTGCTCTACACCAGGGGTTCTCAACATTGACTGCACATTAGAATCCTTTAAACATTAAAAGAGATTGAGGAGCCTTTAAAAATCCCCAAACCCAGGCCACACTCTAGACCAATTACATAAGAATCTATGGGAATGCTGGTCCCAGACCAGCATGAGTATTTTTTAAAGCTCCTCAAATGATTCCAGTGGACAAGCAAGGCTGAGAACCACTACTTTAGGGAGAGAAAAGTCCAAGTACCCACAGAGACCAATTTTCACTTAATTTCTTTATGGTCATAGAATCCTGTACTGATTTTAAAGATAAAAGAGTTTGGTTTACAAACAGTTATGTAATTATAACTTAATTGTTCAAATCAAAACTAGTTTCTAAAATATGTTTCTTCCCTTCTAGTCATATATTAAACTCTAGCCTGCCCAGTGATAGACTCAAAGTGTAATAATATATTATTTGTGTCTTGGCCTCCTTCCTTTTTTTTGCCCTACAGTTGAAGAAAGTGGCAGAGACTGAATGACATAAAACCCAGTGGCTTTCTTGGGAAGACTTGTAGAGGTAAAACAAAATTCATCTGTAGAGAGAAATAATTCCTCTTTGTTGAACAAACGGAAAAACGAAATTGTAGAATACTTTAAAAATAAACACACTGTAGAATAAAAACAACTGCAATTAGTAGTAAACTCAGATCCTAATTGATTCATTTTTAATTTAGTGTAATTATATAAATGAGTCATTTATATAACCAAGGAGCTATATTGTGGATGCATTTTATACGGTTCATTTTTGTTTTTATACTAGCGTGAGCGTTTCCCAAGTTTGCCTGTAATAACTGACCTTTTTCAAAATCAAGAAGACAAAATTCTCCCCAGTGTCTGAACTAACTAACATAATTTAGTGTCTGAATTGAGGAAGCCCTAATTGACAGGGTTTTACTGTCTGTGTACATAAATATATGGTGAAATGCCCATTATAATAATTACTAGAGAGAAGCAATCAATTCCTGTACCTGTTGAGACTGATCGCCCCACCAGTAAAGGCAGGACGAGGGAGTCGTAACGCTTTTCAATTTGAGTATCCCTGCGAAGGGACGATGGCACCGCCGGCATAATCTGATGAAAAATACCTTTCGCCTAGTCATCAGGAGATCAGGGATCCAGTTGAGGTTGCAAAGTGTGTAACTTCAAGCAGTCAGCACAACCCTCTAGTGCTATTACTTCTCTCCCGGGAATTGGGGGTATTCAGAGGGAGAAAGGGGTGCCAGGGGAAAGGGACGGCGGCAGGCGAGCCACTTACGAGATGTAGGCTGGGTAGCCGAATCCTATCAGATTGCAGAGGAGAGAGGCTCCATAACCGAACACCAGGTACAGGGCCACCAGTCCGATGACACCTGGAGACCAGCAAGAGAGAGAAGTGGGTCGCGTAGCACGAAAGGCGCTCAAGCGGGGCTGCTGCCACCCACACTCCGAGGCTTGGCCTGTCCTGGGCGTTTTCCTCCCGACTCGATTAAAGGAGCAAGAAAAACAAACCACACGGAGCTCGGGCCCACGGGGCTCTCGCTTGGGTCCAGGGATGTCTGGCAACCCCCCTCTTTTGCCTTACCTCCCTCCCGCAGGGCCAACCCCGGGCGCCCAGGACGGTCTGGGGAGGCCGGGCGCCCCCGCTCTCCCTCCGCGGGGGCCCCGCGCTGCAGCGCGCCAGCCGGGCCGGGGGTCTGGACAGGCCCGAATTCCGGCCCCAGCCCGCACCCCCGCCCTCCCGAAGAGACACCCTTCTCCGGCGGAAGCCCACGGAGGGTCTGGGTAGCGCCGGGCACCTCCGCCACCGCGCCCACGCGCCCTCCCGCAGGGCCCCGAGCCACGCCAGCGCAGGACCACAGTGACACGGCGCCCGGCCACGGGGCAGACACGTCAGCGCCTGCCGGTCCCGTTCCCCGTGCCCAGGAGCCGCCCCCGCGCTCCCAGCCACCTTGCCCGCGGGCACAGGCCCGCGACACCCCTGCCCCCACCCCAGGCCGCTCCGGCGGGGTCTCTGCTCCCTGGGCTTTCCGGGCACCCAGCTCGGTCCCCGAGGATGCTGCTGGCCCCTTCTGTCACCGACTCCGCCCTTCCCGAGCCCCCTCCCCGCTTCCTTCCCCAGCAGCTGGTGCAGCGGCGGCTCCCCGGGCCGAGCCAGCGACTGCGACCCCCGGCCACCCACCAAGCGCGATGAAGCTCCGGTTCACGCCGGTTTTGGCCTCGAGCTTGGCCAAGAGGTCAGTCATGCAGTTCTTCTCGTGCAGGAATCGGTCAAACCTCTCCCTCATGGCCGCAGACATGGCGGGGACCGTCGCGCCGCCGCCCGGGGCTGCTCCTGCTGCCGGCTGGACGCGAGCGGGCTGACTGGGGCGGGGGCGGGGCGGGGGCGTCTGCGACACCGGGCGGGGACAGCGGCGCGTCTACGCGTCCCTCCCCGCGCAGGCCCTCTGCTCGCCCCGCCCTGCCGCCGCGGTCCCCCCTCCACACTCCGCCCCGCGCCGCGCGGCAGGCGCCACACCCGGGCGGTGGCCGGGCCTGCGCCTCCCCGGCAGCTGGAAGGTGGCCGGAGCTGTTAATAGCCTTAATCCATCGGGGCCGCAAGAGAGTGGAGAGGGGACATGGGCTCCTTTGTCAAATCAGATATTGCAAAAAGCAGGTGGAAAGAAGGAGGCAGGCATCCTTGTTGCTGCCGCCTGCAACTTAGTGGGACTGGTGTGGTGTACGTACCCTGCTGTGCTAAAACTGCTAAAGCATTTTTAATCTAAAGATTGAGATGTGTAACCATCTTGAAAGAACTCTTTGGGTGCAGGCCTGCTTTATTCCTCGTTGCCAGAGCTCGGCATAGTTTTCCTCACCTACACACCAACTCCGAAAAGACCCTTGAAGAAATCTAACACACGTTCCTCTGGGAACAAAAAGTACTTCGCTTCTTAAACCTTTTCATGATGGGCTTGGCCTTGGGGTAGGCCCTCACTTTGCTTGCTCCATGGTCTTCCTCCTCCTAGGCCTAGGCTTTTGTTCTATCACCCATATTATTTCAGGACACGCCTTTAAAATTACTTACTCTCTTCTAATCTGCACACTGCTGCCGAATTTTTGTCATTGCTTAAGCCTCAAAAGCTCCGCATTACTGATCTACTGGAGCTCTTAATTCCTTGATAGAGTATTCAAGGCTTTGCACACAGACTGGCCCCCAACATTCTCTCTGCTTCCTACACAACCCCTCTTCCCTTTCACGCTGACTTAACTACCTACTGCCTTCCGCTTTCGTAAAAAGATTATCTGGCCCACTCCTAGCTTTTTCCTTTTATGCTAATTCTCCTTCCTCTTTTCTTCCCCAGAGGTTTTTCCCAGCTGCCCCCCCCCCAACCAAATCAGTGAAGAATTAAACAACTCGACAGTCCACTGCTGTCTTTTCACCTACAGTTAATTCTCAACGTGGCAGCCAGGGGAATCTATCTATCTATCTATCTATCTATCTATCATCTATCTATCCATTTTGAAACAGGATCTCTGTCTGTTGCCCAGGATGGAGTGCAGTGGCGTCATCATAGCTCACTGCGACCTCAAACTCCTGGCCTCAAGCAATCCTCCTGCCTCATCCTCCTGAGTAGCTGGGACTACAAGGGTGCATCACTACACCCAGCTAATTTTTCTATTTTTTGTAGACATGGGGTCTTGCCATGTTGCCCAGGCTGGTCTTAAACTCCTGGACTAAAGCAGTCCTCCTGCCTCGACCTCCCAAAGTGCTGGAATTACAGGCATAAGCCACCACACCTGGCTGAATCTTTGAAAAATATCTGTCAAGGTGTGCTCTCATGTTGCTCTTTACCCTGTGGTGGCTTCCCATCTGCCCACAGACTGGCCTCAAGGTCATAGATGATGTTCATCCCTCCCCTTTTTTATGTCGCGCATTACTGCCCACGTGCTTGCTTTATCTCAAATAAGTTAAGCCCATTCCCTCTGGGCTTTCACTTTTCTTCTATGATGTTTCAGTGGTTCTCAACCAGGGACACCTCACTCTCCTCTAGAGACATTTTAGCTGCCAGACAGATTGTCACGCATGGAGGTGGTGTGGAGGGGATTGCTACTAACATCTAGTGGGTAGAGACCAGGGTTGCTGCTAAACATCCTGTGATGCACAGGACGGCCCCTCACAACAAAGAATTACCTAGCCCTTAATGTCTGTAGGTGCTGAAACCCCGCTCTACCTAAAAAGCCTTTTCCCCAGATAACCATTTAACTGCCTGCTTCTATTATTCAGGTTTTTGTTCAAGTGGCACCTGTAATCCAAAGTTGCAACTCCCAATGGTCTCTAGCCCTTGTCTTGTTGATTTTTCTCCATAGCATTTATTACTGTCTGATATTTTATATTTTCTACTTTTTAAATTGTCTTCCTTTCCCCACTAGATTATGAGCTCCATGATGATAGGCATTTTTGCCTATTTTATTTGCTTCTGTATGTCGAGCACCTCAAACAGTACCTAGCATTTAGCCGGTATTCAATAACTATTTGTTGAATCAATAACTATCTAACATTTATTGTACTCCCAGTATTCTAAGTACTACAGGAACTATTAATATATTCCCTGCTCATTTCACCCTTACAACAGCATGAGGAAGATACTACCTGTCTCATCCTCATTTAAGGGAAAGACGTGAGGTACAGAAAGGTCTCACAATTAATAAATGGCAGAGCTAGAATTCAGACCCAGGCTCTTACCCCTGTGTTATACTGCTGTTACGGGTTGAATTACATGCCACTCCTCAAAGAAGATATGTTGGAGTCCTAACCCCCAGTACCTCAGAATACGATCTTATTTGGAGATGGGGTCTTCACAGAGGTAATCAAATTAGAATGAGCTCGTTAGGGTGGGCATCGGTCCAATATGACTGGTGTCCTTATAAAAGGAGGAAATTTGGACACAGAGACAGACACACGTAGAGGGAGATGATGCGAAGAGACACAGGAAGATCAACTGCGAGCCAAGGATAAAGGCCTGGAACAGCCCACAGAAGGAACCAACCCTGCCAGCACCTTGATCGTGGACTCCTAGCCTCTAGGACTGCGAGACAATAAGTTCCTGCCATTAATGCCACCCAGCTTATGGTACTATGTTACAGCAGCCCTAGCAAACGAATATAACTGCCTAGCAAAACAGCTGGTTTTTGCACTTTTAACCAGTTGTGAGTTCGTATAATTTCCTACGGAGTACAGTGATTATTCACACCTGAACGTAGGGTTGTTTTTGAGTATTTAAAGTGATTCGATATTTGATAGTTTTATTTATTTATTTATTTTTAGCCAGGGAGCACAATCCTTTTAAGTTAGGTATTCAAATCAATCTAGGTTTTTATCACCATATGTATACAGTGGTGGCAACATTTGTACTACATCAGCTATGCGTGGAGTATCTGGAAACATGCTAGTCATTTGGATTTCTTTTGCGTAAATATCACCCCCTTCCCAATATTCTCCTGACTTCGATTCCAAAGTTCTTCTTTCCTCCATCATTCAACCAGACACTGTCAGGTGAGGCAGCATAGGAAGGCAGAATGTGGAGCGCTGCCTCTGGATCCAGTCGGAATGGGCTACATCCCAGCTCTACCATTCAGCTGTGTGACTTTGGGCAAGTTACATAAGCTCTCTGTGCCTGTGTTCCCTCCTCAGTAAAACAGGGGTAACAGTACTACCTATGTCACAGGGTTCTCATGATGATTAAATGAGTTACTATTTGTAAAGTTTTTAGAAGAGTGCCTGACACAAAATGTGATTGTTAAATAAGAAATTTTAAAAAGTACAGCTAGGTGCTAAAATTGAGATAAAGAAATATTACATAATTTTTGCCTTTAGGTAACTACAATCAGATTGGGGGAGCGTGGGACCCTAGCTTATCTAGGCAGCACTGCAAGCGTTAGACTCTTTCATGGATGAGAAAAGAGCTGCAGTAGCTCAGAACCCTGCCTCGGGTCCCAGACCACTCACTCACTCTTACCAATTACGTATATCGGCTGTGCCAGATGCTGTTAGACCTGGGAACCGGACAGACCAGGTCTGTGTCCAGGAGGCCATGGAGAAGGCTGGCCTGGAGCAGGTTGACTTTAGCAATTTCTAAGAAGGCAAGTGACTTGGGATAAGGTGAATATTATTACTATGCCTTCCATGAGCTAGAGAACAAAATTCTGCGGGAGACCTAGGATCAGGTCACTTTTGTTCTGCATGAGCTGTTTCTTCAGGGTAAGATAATTTCTCAATGACTGAAAGTCGTAACGCACTTCTGTTCTAGCTCTCATTTATGCTAGGAAGAGGTGGTAGAACATAATTTGCCAAATAATCTCTTCCTTCCTCTCTCCCACCCCCACATTTACAGGGTGCCCTGGCATTTGTAATTGGAGCATGGCCCTGAGGAGGCAGTCGGCAGGCCCTCAGCCCCTGCAGGCACAGGCCTGTTGGCACACTCCTCTCCCTGTGCCAGAAAAGGCTTATGATGACATGTCATTGAAATAAAAAAGGAAAAAGACAAAGTAAACAAAACCTGAGACATAGACTTGTCAGACGATGGGAGGAAAATGTGGAGGCTGAATGTAATTTAAGAAAGAGTATTCAAGGAAATAAAATGTGAAAATTGTTTGCGTCATTTGTCTTATTCTTAAACATTTTCTACTGAAAATATAGACAAAGTATCTTATTATATTTCTCCATTTATCAAATAGGGAAGTTGAATCTTAGAAAATCACTGCTGACAACTGAGAATAAACTAACCTAGGAATATCCTTTAGTTTAGCCAAGTATTATTATTCTGAAATTAAATACTATATTTACTTTGAATATTAAATGTCATTGCTATTGCACATAAATTGAGATTTGCACCAGCTATAAAAATTCCCTGTATTTTACTCTTTTGTTTCTCTAATGTCACCTGCACAGAGGACAAATAGTAGAAAATAAGCCATTGACAAGTTGTTTTCTATGTTGAAGACCAGTCAGTCCAGTTCTGGACAAAGCCTGGAGTTTAGACTCCATACTGGGATGGTACAGTGTTCACTGGCCCTGGGGTATAGGTCTACCACAGAGAACAATCCAGATTTGCCTAATAGCCTACAGGGTGGCATGACATTTTACCTTTCTTTCCATGTAAGAGAAGGACTAGAAGGAGTCGGACAATTTTGTGCACTTTCCTTCATGATGAGATATTGGGGAAATTTAGTTATTAGATCATTAAATATGAAATGTCCAATTTTGAACCCAAAGTGTAGTTTATTATATCTCAAATAAGAAGTAGTACAATTAATCAAAGTATATGCCTAAACTGCCCACACAGTTTTGCAATCTTTTTTTTTTTGAGGCAGAGTCTCACTCTTTTGCCCGGGCTAGAGTGCCGTGGCGTCAGCCTAGCTCACAGCAACCTCACACTCTTGGGCTCAAGCGATCCTTCTGCCTCAGCCTCCCGAGTAGCTGGGACTACAGGCATGCGCCACCATGCCCGGCTATAGTTTTTTTTTTT